TCAAAAACAGACGTAGACTTAGTGCGTGACCCCGCCATTGCGCTCCTATGTACGTAAAACAGAAAAGAATCTTGTACACAAACATTCATAATAATCTTATCCATAGGAGTCAAAAGATGGAATCAACCCAAACGTCTCTCCACCGATAAATGAACAGAACATGGTCTATACACAACGATGCTTTATTTGGACACAATACCGATCCATGCTGCAACATGAATGAACCTCACAAACATGTGAAATGGAAGAACAGAAACAAAAGGCCGCTTCGCGGAGTCCGTCCGTAGGAAACGTCCAGAATAGGCAAATCCATAGAGACAGAGAGCAGACTAGTGCTTATTACGAGCTGGGGGCCGGAGTAAGGGGAGACTAAACACGGGTCTCGGGGGTAGCAGGAGTGCTCTGAGTTACATAGTAGTGGTGGTTGTGCACCTTTGTAAACACACTAAAACCCACTGAACTAGACACTTGAAATGACTTGCATGGTGCCTGATTTATACAGTTGGTTGTAGGAAACTGGAGCCATTGGGAAGTCAGGATTGGGGACTTACCTGGGAAAGTGTCAGCCCAGAGATGGCTCACTAACCCCAGGAATGGAGAGTCACACCAAGACAGCACACACGGGACAGTAGGTGGACAGAGTGCCAGAGAGAGGCTCACACCCAGAGCTCGGTGACAGAGGAGGGGCCCGAGCGACGGGAAATGAGTGCAGGGGGCCCGGGCTGCCGGGAAGATCACAGTTCACGCTATTTCCGGAGCTATTGCACCGAACACTGCAGGAAGTTCCATGCCTTGCAAATGGGGTAGGTTCTAGAGACGGGACCTCTGGGTCAAAGGGCATGACTAGATACCGCGAACGCTCACTCTCATCAATATTATATGAAAGCACCAATAAGGATCAAATCTACCCTGTCCTGGGCTATGAGTGAGAGGACTCTGGAGAGAAAGGACCAGAGCCGGGGCAGGCTGCTGGGAACGGGGCACCGTGTGGCTGGGCAGAGCTGACAGAGCTGGCTGCTGAGGTCGGGGGCATGTAGCGGAGCAGCTGGTAGATCTCAGCAGAACCTGAGGGGTGAGCAAGTCCTGCTGGGGGAACAGAGCGGGCTCATCTGAGAGCCTGGGAAAGGAACAAAGCAGTGAGCTACATGAGGTTGAGAAAGCATTCTCGTTCCAGAATCCCAGGCGGCTGTGCGACCTTGGACAAGCCGCCCTCTGCCTGACTCACCCGGCCAGGGTACCGTCTGGCCAGTCTCCTCTTCGCTTTAGAACTCTGATTCCTGCTTAAGAAGAGGAAGAAATCTTCCTTTGAAGCCCTACCACCAACACTGGGGCAGGCCTTCCTTGGGAAGTTTTGTCCCCGGGGTGGTTTCTCTGTCCTCTGGAAGGGGCCAGGGGGTCATTTCAAGCAAGCTTTGACCAGAACAGCTCGGTTCAATTCAGCAAACATCCACTGCGTGTCCTGAGTGCAAAGCCACCACCATCATCTCTCGCCTCGACAATTATGACAGCTTCTGAACCAGTCTCCCGCCCGACCCCTTGCGCCTCCACAATCTATTCTCAGCAAAGCAACTCACACCAGGCAGATAGCAAAGTCGGCAATGGCCCACGAGGATCAAGGGGTGGGACCCGTGCCCCCCGCATTCCCACATGAGCAAACATCTGCCTTTGGGGCTTTGCAAACCGCCTTCTCTCTGCCTTCTCCTGCCGGCATTGCTCCCTCTTCTCTAAGATCTCCATTCAGAATTAACCTCCTCAGGGATTTCCCTGACCTCTTTAAAGAAATGAACCCTCCCAGCCCATCACTGTCCATCCCCTTTTGATACTGCCTGGTTTTCTTCATAGCACTCACCACCGCCTTCGTCTTAGCTGTTTCCGTGTTGACTCTCCGTACCCCACCTCCGAACTGCTGGCTTTGTGACCACAGGGACTGCCGATTCCCCAGGCCCTGGCCCAGGGCGTGTACAGGACAGGCACTCGTGGCCCAGCGCGGAGAAAGTGAGTCCTCACACAAGCCTCAGTCTCAGGAGCCGGCATCAGGTGCTTTCCAAACGGCTACACCAATGGGCAAAAGCTAGATTCCTAAACTAAGCTGTCTTTTTTGTTTGTTTTTTTTTTTTTTTTCTTTTTTTTGGGGGAAAGGCATTAAATGGAAAAAGAGGTCACACCATTTAGAGTAATATCCTGGGGCTTTGCAAACCGCCTTCTCTCTGCCTTCTCCTGCCGGCATTGCTCCCTCTTCTCTAAGATCTCCATTCAGAATTAACCTCCTCAGGGATTTCCCTGACCTCTTTAAAGAAATGAACCCTCCCAGCCCATCACTGTCCATCCCCTTTTGATACTGCCTGGTTTTCTTCATAGCACTCACCACCGCCTTCGTCTTAGCTGTTTCCGTGTTGACTCTCCGTACCCCACCTCCGAACTGCTGGCTTTGTGACCACAGGGACTGCCGATTCCCCAGGCCCTGGCCCAGGGCGTGTACAGGACAGGCACTCGTGGCCCAGCGCGGAGAAAGTGAGTCCTCACACAAGCCTCAGTCTCAGGAGCCGGCATCAGGTGCTTTCCAAACGGCTACACCAATGGGCAAAAGCTAGATTCCTAAACTAAGCTGTCTTTTTTGTTTGTTTTTTTTTTTTTTTTGCTTCTTTTTGGGGGGCAGAGTTTGGCATTTCTCCAGGCCTGAGGTTTTCTGTGTGGACCTGAAGGTAAGCAAGCCTGAGATAAGCTTGGTGAGGAGAGGAGCCACACCCTGTTCCCTGCTGAGCCCAGAAAGAGCGCTCAGGTGCGGCTCAGCACAGATACGAGGCCTGAACAGACAGCCGGTGCTCATCACGCGAGAGCAAGGACGAGACCCTCTGCCACCAGAGGAGGCTGAGACTTGGACACCAGAGAAATGGGCTGGGTTTACGTCACAACGCCGGGACCCTTGCAGGTGCTTCCCAGACCTGGAAAGGAAAACTTTCTGCCTTTTAAGTCTTTCTGACTTGGTCTGGTGGTTACAATCCCCGACAGTAGGGCAGCCCTGCCCTCTGGTGGCTGCCCAGGGCAGTGCCCTCATGGGACAGCTTCCCCCCAAATTAGGGAAAACGATTTCATTCCATCAGTTCTAACTTTTCTACGGACACTTCAGAAGACATAACATACAGGAATAAAGAGTCCTCATATCACCTTAATATCCCGATGCTGCTGGAGCTTTCAATCTCACGCCTGTTTCATACCTCATTCGTTCATCCAACGAAGTATTTACAGAGAGCCTACTAAATCCCAGGCACTTGCTGTACAAAACAAATGCAAAGAATTCGTGCAGTCGTATTCTGGCTGTGGTCATTCTGTGTGTGTGTGTGTGTGTGTGTGTGTGTGTGTGTGTGTCCTGCTAGCTTCACTCCGTGTCATACAACCTGCGTTGCCACACACTCTTCAGAAAATCATTGTCAATGGCTACAGGGCAGCCCCCGGCATTCGTGTTCAGCCACTGGCCTAGAAAGCATCCTTATGTGGGTAGCTGCTTCTTGAAATCAGAATAAGGCAGATCAGAACCATTTAGTCTCCTTTGAAAGAGTGAGGCGACAGCCTGGGCGAGTTGGCCGCGTGGATTTTTACTGACTCCCTGTGGGTCCCCTGTCCCCACGCCTGCACACTCCGACTGACGTCAGGGTACGGGACGTGTCTACTGCAGACACCGTATCACGTGTTCACTCAACAGCTGCCACTGCCAGGCACTGGGATGCAGCAGTGAGGGGGACGGCAGGGCCCTGGACCCTCCATGAGCTCAATCTGGTGAAGAGGTGGCATGAAATATAGTTGCAAAAATCATTCTCACTTCCTTGTCCAACAGGAGCCCCGACTGAACGGAAGGGGCCTGCTGCCCTGAGGAAGCCTCCCTTAAGCTAAGAAGCCAAGGACATGTGGTCATCATCTGGCCTGGGGCAAGCTGGCAAGGCATGGCACCTGGACTCAGACAGCCAAGAGGAGGCGGGGAGGAGGCGGGGAGGAGGAGGAGCCGGCCGGATCTCACGGGACTCCGCAGGCCAGTTGGGGAGTGTGGGGTTTATCCTCAGCACAACCGGAAGCCACTGCAAGTTTGGAGCCTTTCAAGCACCGTGGGCCTTTTAGAAAGATCCCCTGTAACAAACAGAACCAGTTAGAAAACACTGTAAAGAGCTCACTCGTGGGACCGGCAGTTAGTGGAATGGCTATGTCGCTGGACTTCCACGTAGTCGACCGCGGTTTGCGTCCCAGACCCGGTGGCTTAAAACTCACACCGGCCCGTGTGCGTGCCATGCCCAAGATCCCGAGAGGAGAGTGGAGGAGAAGGGATTGCAGCGTAGCCATCCCCCCGGGGGGTGATTTCTCACTTTCTGTCTCTCTTTCTGGCGAACGCATGCGCCCTATAGCAAAAACCTCGCCAAAAAATACAAAAAAGTATGAGAGGTTGGTGGGTGATGGGAGTATGATAGGAGCTTTGAGTGAGAATGTCAGGAGCAGTGAATTTGCCCGCAAGGAAGACTTGAATTCAAGTGGGAAGACACGTTTTGGGCTTGAACAAGACAGTATTGTGAAAGTGCTAAGTGTCCTTGAATTATCTATGTATTTGGGACACAGGTCATCTTTTTTTTTTT